AAGCGTACGCACAAGCTTAATGCAGTATCTGCAGAACAGCTGCAATGAAAATTTGGAATTTCTGGTGTGTACGGTTGCTTCTTTCTTTTTCTTTTCTTTTCTTTTTTTATTGTAGTTGGCATCAATAAAGTGAGTCCCCACTGACGGAGTAGTCCACATGTCAACATTTTATTTGCATGGTTAGATGGGGTTTAGCGATCAAACTTTGGATCCAATGAAGAAATTATCAACTTTAATGACATCTTAAAGTACCTACCACCCTCCACTTAACTTCAGCTAATTTCTTTTCTACAGTTTGTATCTGAGTGCATTATTTTATGATTTGGGCGGTAAAATAGTAGCTTTTAGAGTACTAAAGAAGGCTTTTTTATCCTTTTTTATTAAAAAAATCAGTATATTTTGTAATTTAGAATAATTTAAAATAATTTAGATTGAAAAATTAAAATTTTTAAATGAATTAAAAGGGTCCTTTAATTTTTTATTAAAAAATTATTATTTTTTAATTTAAAATAATATAGACTACAAAATACATTTTCTCTTGTATTTTAGAAATGGCAATGAATAGGGTTTCAAATACACAAATGTATTAAGGGATTGTGAAAAATCAAGATATCCTGGTGTTTAGGATGTTTATCATAGCTATTGATTTTATGGATTTTAATCAGAGACTCACTTATTTGATGATTGCGATAGACAACCTAACAACTAACTTATTTAACGGTTATGTATCAAGACGTCTTAATCTTCATTTTTTCCATGTACCAATGTTGAGAGATAATCCGACCTTGAACATTGTAACACAAATATATTGTTAAGATGATATAGAAATGTTATAAGTGTTTTTGTTTTGATCGAAAAAAAAAAAGTTGATAATTGTGACTGCTTACTTATAAAATTTATAAAATAAATCAATAAAATTGTTAATTTTATTATTTTATAATTTAAAATTAATTTACATATTGATATTTTAAAACACCTTAACAAGTTAAAAATTAATAAAATCAATTAAATTAAATAAATTTACAATATATCAACGAAGTCTTGACAAATATTTGTGGGATTATAACTATGCCTCATAATCTTCCAAAGTTGCTAAATGTTCAAAAAAAAAAGTACCAGTAGTAGTTTCATTCTCTTTCCAAGTTTTGAGATGTGATTAAGGCGCACAAAATAATGAGCTAGGGAGATAATAAGGGTTTCAAAATTTCGGAACATGTGTAATGGAAAAGAGATAATCACTTGGAAATTATAATTCCGTCTTGATCGGTCTATATTCGCCAATGCGTTTTGAAAATACATCTACCTAACGAATGACATGTTCAGTGGTTGCCAGAAAATGATGTGACTTAAGTGGTTAATCTATATCTTTCTGGGTTTAATTTTACGTACAATTTGGATATGGTATAGATATTGATTTGTATATTATGAAACTACATAATTTTTTGCTACTAGACCTCCTCTGTTTTACCTGCTCTGTTTCATTAAATTTCTCTCAGAGTTTGGATGGCTGTAAGAATGGAGTAAGAGATCTATGTCATGTCGAACTCTGCCGAAATTTTAAAACATAAGCACAAGGAACAAAAACCATCTGTTCATTTCCTCTCTTTTTTTCTTTTTTCTTTTTTTTTTTTTGGGGGGGGGGGGGGGGGGGGGGGGGGTAAAGAAGATGGAATATAACCAAAAGCATTACTGTCTGGGGTAGCAAACCCCTATAAGATGAGCCATACACAACAGATTCACGTCAGGTGGACAGTCAAACAAAATATGAAACCCATGAAGGGCCAAAGCTACCTTCTCGGCAATAGCATCAGCTACCATAAATGTTACTCTCCCTCAGCACATGTTTCAGCTGGACTTGGGGAGTGGTGCGCAAAAGGTCCGTGCAATAATATCCATAAGCAAAGTGCTGTGAGGATGACGTTAGAAATTTTATATGGACTTTTACTAACTTTATTTAATTTTTCTTACAAATGGATTAAATAGAAAATTAGTAAAATTTGATAAAATTATGTAATCTAGGATTTTATTTCAGTTTTAAATGATGTGATATGAATATGCGTAAAATATGAAATTAAAAAAAAAAAAAGATGAGCTACTTAACAAGGATGCTCAAAATATTATTATAAAAAAATTATGTTTTTTTCTATTCAAAAAATTCTATCTCCATAAATAATAAAATTACTAAGTGACATGATCTATTGATTGTTACTATATAAAAATTGAATAGGAAGAGAAAGATTTAACCTTTAACTATTTTAGCTATTTCTTTCCATTTGTTTTTTCATTTTCAGGCTCATAGATCAATGGCTTCCAATAAAAATACATGATTTTGTTATTTAATTGTTTAAATATGATGTTTAGAATTTAATTTGTGTTATATTTATATTTATAAATTCCAACAGATGAGCCATCTGTTCATTTCTTGACAAAGCAAATAAATGCATTGCCAGTAATTGATGTCAAAAAAATGACCCAACACCAAGGAGGCCTAACAGTTCCTTGGGACGACAGTGAAAGCAGCCTTTGCTGCATCAATATTGCTTATCCACATATTTCCCACCACATGGTGTATGCATGTGGATATGTCAAAAACTTGGCATTAAATAATGGCATTCATAAAAGAGTCCATACTCCATAGAACTTATATTAAGAATTTCCTGTTTTATAAAACAAGTTGCACCAAAAATATGAGTCATTAAATAGACAATAAGTGTTATAATATTTTTTTATATTAATTATATATAAATAAAAACTCACTTATATATGAATAAAAATTTATTTATATATAAATTTTATACATTATATTTATATTAAATTTTAATTTTTTTATTTTTAATAATTAAAATTTATTCATATTTTTTTTAACTATAATTAATTTTTATTTAAAAATTTATAATAAATCTTAATTATTTAAAATATAAAAATAAAATTTAAAAATTTTATATAAATAAAATTTTCCTTATATATATTTTTAAATAGTTTCCTAGTCTAAGAATTAAATTTTATTACAAGGTGGTAACTTTATTGAGCCCTGTGACTAGTACATTGTTCGTATTGTGGTGCACATGATTAAATGTCAGAAGTTTCGTTGGCATGCAGGAGCGATGATCAATGTTCAAATTGTACTGTAATTTTTAGACGAGACAGAGACGGTACAATTTTCCATATTTTTAATAAGATTTGCAAGGGCAAGCAGCATTTAGGTCGTGCTTGGTACAGTTAGATATTGAATTCATCGAGGGTACGAAAAGGACGCAGACTGGAACTTTAAGAAGTTAGTTGGGAATAAATTGTTGTCTGGGGTGTGGTTGAGAATTTGGTAGGTTTGTATATATTTGTACATTTGAACCTTTTGATTCTTCTCTTGTTCTTCATTAAATTCGCCCGTCCCTCTTCACAAAAAAGCCTCGTGGTTTGTCTATTCACCAAAAATTAGAAGGGGGTTAAAGTGCACTTTTTTTTTTGGGCAAACTAAAAATGCATCTCACATCGCATATTTCTTGATTTAATGAACTTTCATGACTGCTGAGTTAAAAAAAAACTTCCATGACTGGATTAATGATGAAAACCTTAGATTATATATACATTAGTTAAAATTCACTTTCAAATTATTTATTCTCTATTATAAATGGTTAAAATTTATCAATTTTACTCTTATTTTTAAAGGTAATTTGTAATTATTTTTTATCTAAATAATTATAATAAATCTTAATAGTATATAATCAATAATAAATAATATGTGTATAAATTTATAAAAGTGGATTCTAACTCTCTATATATAGTTTTTAGAGTGGTATATGAATACCTATAAAAAAATGGTGTCTGAGTATAGTGATTTTATTACGTTAGAGAGAGTCTTACTCTAGATATTTCTGGAAAAACTGCAAAATTGTGTGGTCAACTAGTTATGGTCCGACTGGCCAAATTACAAACCAAAGATCAAAATGGTTTAACTTTCGGTTTGTTTTGAAAACATTGCTTTCAGAAAAACCCACCCCTTCACGGTTGGGTCAGATCATTGGATCTTGGGTCAACTGAATCCGAACATGGAAAGACAACACTCCGCCCAAGTTACATTAAAAGCAAACTTTAGTTGGGCTAGATGCAAATCCAACAGGCCCATTAATAGCCCACAATGTAATAATCCATATTTTATTTAATAATATCTATTTATTTTGATGGTAATAATATTCAGTTTTTGATATTAAAAAAAATTTTCTCATCAAGGGTTCAATTCTGTATGCTACTTTGTCGGTATTTATTATATATGGATTTTTT